CGCATTTTAGAAAATCTTGGAAAATGATTTGCTCAGTGGAAGATGTTGGAATACACATGCAGTCGTCTTCTTTCTTGTTGCACTTCTTGCATGTTTTGTCCCGCCATTTACTTGACAGCGACTCCGGGATAACTTCCGGCTGGTTAGTGTTTTGCTCCACGACATTTCCTGGAATCTATACGTAACGACAAAAAATAATTATAAAATTATGAGGGCATTCTCAAAAATATAGAAAACCATATATATTTTCAGAAGCAGTATGAAAGTTCTGAAATTCCTTTTTTTTCTTTTCAGGTATGATATATGACAGCAGTTTTTGAATTTCAAGGCAGTTTCGATGAGATATCTTTTAGATTTAAAAAATCTTTAATGGGTATCAATCTGGACCAAGCTTTTTGATACTGACTTTCAAAGTTCTTCTGAAAAACAGTAGGTAAATAGTTTCCTATGCATATCAGCATAAATCTGATATTTTTAAAACGTAGAAAAAGCATATCCTGAAGCAGGTACGTTTCTTCGGTTACGTTTTCTTTCCAAAAATTCAAAATACTAAGACGTTGGGTTGAAGCAACACTGGAATGGATACATTTTCAACTCTCCACACACTGAATAATGCACAAGTGTAGACTCCATATATAACGATTTTGCCCCGAACGATTTTCTCCGCATAACGATATTTTGTCCCATTCAGTATAGTCATTTCTCGTACAATTAATAGAGGTTGCCTATAATCAAATTCTCTCTACGGAGAGTTTTCTGATCCCCTGAATTTCGTTTCAGACGAAAGAGACCGTCTGTATTTGGCTTCTCAAGTAAATGTTTTGTAGAGGAAAGTCACATACCAAAACTGACCAGTATAGAGGCATTCCTGATGATTTTTTTTCAATTACAGCATTTAAAATATTCACCTGAGAATCTGGAACAACGCTGTTGACAACTTCAGGGACAATAATGTCATGACGAGCTTGCCATGTAACAACGTGAGCTTCAGCCTTTTCGAATACTTCAATGACTTCCCTCTTGACGCAATCATCGCAAGTGACTTTGGCTATCTTATTTTCCACATCACAAGTTTTATCTTTCATGCAGCCATTCCCGTCATCTCCGCATTCGAGTTCTCCAGCAATCCGCTCGTGATGCCCAATGCTGACATCCTCAGTGTCAGTGAGCCAAGGTTCAGGAATTTCAGTTCCATATAGGGATCGCCAAATGTCTAACAGAAGATTTCTCAATCTGCTGTCGAAAGCCGTGCCTCTCCAAATGGCATTCCAAAGCCAATCAATAACACCGGAAGTGTTACCTTTATTGAGTAGATATTCTCAGTAGAAGTTTCGGGAATCAAAAAGTTGAAAATAATTGGAGCTGAAAAAAAATCACCGGACAAGAAGTCTGACAATTTTTACTCATCGTTGTGAAAGATGAGTTTCTGAAAATGTTACTTTGAAAATAAGTACAGGATCTCGTTCGGATCAGTCTGAAATTCAACTTCGTACGCTGGGGACGACGTTCTGTTATACAGATGGAGCTACTTGAGCCACCAGAAAACACTTCCCGCCGAAGGAGTGCTATTAAAGAGGGTAAAGCATAGAGTTAGCTCCCAGTAGTAGGTAGTCGTGTTAAAAGTCGTTTCGAAAGTGTAGTAGGAGGCCTCCTCGTTCCCGAACTACATCCGCAAAACCGGACAAAGCCGCCAATCTCACGTCTCGATAATACTTGGAACTAGAGAAATATTCAGAAAAGATTTCATCCGGCAGCAGGCAAACCCGCATTCTCTGGAATTTTCTCAAGGCTTTGATGCACACGGCGGCAATGGACGATTTGTAGGAATACTGTCTCGTGCTGAAATTCAAGGCCTTCCGGAATCTTCCGACGACTTCCTTGATCAACACGAACCATTCGTCAGACATGTTGTATACGTTACAACGTCATTAGCAAAGACGGTCTCGAAGCATATCAGGCCGACACATTGGCGACAGTGACGATATGAACAACTTAAACGACAGCGACAACATTAGGTAGTTAAAGTTTTACTTGGACGATAAGGACGATTTTGCATTCGGTAAAAATAACTTCTAGAGGATGTCCCATTAAAAAATTAAAGATCATACAAGTGCACATTAATAAAATACAGTAAATAAGGTAAACATATTTTTCCCATGAAAATAAATTTATAAACTGTTTGAAAAAATGGCATGGCAAATTGGAGAGATGAGCTGATCGAAGCACGAAGTATTCGTTAATTTTGCTCCAGGGTGGAATTCCTTTTTCAAGAAAATATTTAAAAATTATGAACTTTAAATATTTCGTAGCAAAGGAATTGCCATTTTCCCAGAAATAAAAATTTTCAACTTTCTGAACATGGTAGTTTAAAATCTAAAATAATTAAATAAAAATCGGGTAATTTTTTTTCATCTTCCAAGAAATATTTCATCCATAGTTCTACTGAATACCCAGACTTACTTTATTTCATAAAATGACACACAAATATGCGAGAGTGTTTTTATTTGAAAAACTGGACTTAAAATCGCGTCCGAGTTGAAATTAATATCCTTCAATTCCAATACTGCAGTTCAAAATTTAGATAAGGGCGCTGATTATTTTGCCTGAGAAGTTGAAGAACATATGTGCAGTAAAATATTTTTGTAAATACTGTATATTGGTCATGCGCAAACATTTTGATGAAGACCGCAACTGAATGGATCGACCTAACGTAAATTGATCCAACCTCAGTGCTGGCTGTTTCTCAGTAATTACGCAAAATGACCCAACCTATAGTTTACATATTAATAAAAACTCTCACGAAATAATATGGGACTCTATTACGGTGCAATAAACGAGGAGCGAAGAAATGGATTAAGGAACAAAGACAATTCAATTTGGGAATTGGATAATATTCAGTATGCAGTTCAGACTAACCTTACGACGTTGGGAGGACAAATGCCATTGTGATTCCTCAATTTGGCGATTGCAAACGGCAGGTTCTTTTTTAAGCTGAAATGCTCTATGTCTTGGAAATCATTGGAACACACCACAGACGGATCCACTTTGTGACCAAACATTTGAAGGTAAATGCTGGTGACTTCGAAATCTCTGATATCGCTGAAGATTATCCCGAGCTTGCTCACAACTCTGGCTAGAGCTATCGCAGCCTGGATTCGAGCCTTGTGATAAAGCAGATTATCCGCAAGTATCGCTCCCAACGCATTTCTAGATTGAACTGAAGGTCGCGTCTCCAACACTTTCATGGCATCTAGATTCGTCAAATAATCTCTATCATAGCGCAATTGCATAGTCCACATGATCAGGCCCTCCAAGTATCAATAAAGGGAGTCGTTAAAGTAAAGACCCAGCTAAACTTGGGTTTCGTGACCAACAAGACCTAGTGTAAGACTATCCAGGTAGAGCTAAAGGACAGGCCAGGTTTAGCGAACCTATTCATCGAAATAATAATAAAATTACTTTAAAAGCAAGCATATAAGACATTCACTTTGTTATAAGCTTTGCATATACAGTAGTGTTTATAGCAGTATATTTCAGTTGAAGGAAGTACGTTCGTACTGTATCATGAAACGAAACAAAAATTATGATGGATGAAAACTCAACCAATGACGCTATATGGACGCAGAACAGCAATGTAATATCGACATTATGAACATGCATCCAAATTAGGAAGAGGCGCATCAACCCGGATAATCAGTCTAAATAGTTCCTTGATCCTTGAAAAATGGGGCGATTTATAGTTAAATTAAGAAGGCAACTTCGTTTTCACCAACTGAAAGGCAGTATTGCACGTGGTTGCTGTTCCGATGCGTGGCTAATCAAAGTCCAGATAATTAGATTTAAACTGCTGAAGTATATAGCCCATCAAAAATTAATTCCAGATTTTCAGCAACTGTTATACAGTACAATCAATTATTGCGATTAGGATAGAATAAAATTGATACAAAAGCTGAAGCAAACTTTTGTCAGACATTTTGGGCATACGCAATACCTTTCTTTTCTTAGCCTTTCTTGATTTCAGAGTGGCAGGAATGGAAACGCTGACATGGGAGTCAGATATGAAAAAGGTTTCTTTGGAGAACTTCTCCACCTCTTGGACCCAAATATCGACATATCCCTCAAACGGGAAACACTTTCCGGACAAGCTGTGTCCACAGCAAGGTTGCTTGAATACAAGTGTGAGGCATTGCGTTTGTTTGCAAAATGAGTAGCTTATGTGAAGCTGAACGTGTCCCGGGGCAAAGACCCACTTCTCAAAAAACATCTGGACAGAATTCCGGGTCATTTGGTGGATCCTCGCGGCGTTCATCAAGCATCGCGTGGATATGAGCACCTCTCCAGACTCCAAATAACACTCGGGTTCATCAGGGTGTAGCATTCTTTCCACGACACTTTTAGCAGAATTAAACAAGCTAATTAAAGTATCGCGCAATGGTTTCTCTCCGAGCTCTTTCTCGAGCAGGCGGAAAACCAAATGAGCTTTCCTGATGTACATTTTCAGGAATGTCGCAGAACAAGTCTGCGGATCCTGTAAATCGAGGTACGTCATCGGCTTTTGCATTCTGGTAAATGAAGGTGGCTCATCTGCTTCGGACTGTTCGGAATCCGACGCATCGATGGATTTCCAGGTTTCGTAAAAATCCGGCGGTCGCTTCCGTTCCTATATCCAGCGAGTGTCATAATTACGATGTGGGTCAATCACCAAAGAAGCAAGTCAAAGAGAGAAAAAATATACTACTGTGGCTATAGTTCTTAAATTAGGCTAGCCTTTCTCTTCCCCTTCATGAGAGACGAACAAAAGTGGACGCATCACATGGGTAAATATGAGTGACGATCACTTCTTGAACTCTGTAACAATTCCGGTCCACCAGAATTGAAATCGAGAGAAAACAGAGTTGATTGAGCAGCTCATCTTTGGGTAGGGAATCAAGGTTCACCCGTCACACTCGAATATTTCATCACTATAGCAGGTGTCCGACGTTCAACAGAAAATTACCACAAAAAATAAACAATTAATGCTGAGAATAAATAAGCAAATGAAAGGATTTTATAATTTTGGAATTCGAGGTGTTAATTCGACGCAGAGTCTTAGGATTGCATCACACTGCCAAAAGGTGCTCAAGTACTGCAGTTGCCCAGCCAGGGCTGACGTAAATTAGATCAATTTCCAAATTCCAAAGTTTCCTTCGCGTCTTGAATTCTGATTTTAAAAAAAAACTCCTTGATTGGGTAGGGTACTTGATCAGGTCAGCGAAGGGTAAATTTTTTCTTCACTAATGGACAGATCTCTGTTTTCTTTCGATTTCATCCTGGATCAGCAAAATTCAGAAAAAAGATGCGAGACGATGGGATATTTTAAATGAAAACATGGTATGCCTCGGTCCAACTTTGTGCATCTCCAATAATGGCAGAATACCTACAGCAGACATCACCGGTTTTCATTTGTTCTAATCCCGCAACTGAAAAATGGTGAATCATCAGTTGGTAAGCTTGCGCATAGTTGAGTTACCACTGTACCTGGAAAACGAGAAGACTTTGAAAACTAATTTAAATGCGGCTGTTCTTGTTCCGAGGAGTCAATAATTGTTTCCTTTCAGCCACAATAAAAAAGTTTTAGAATACGTGGAAGAAGAACGAAATTCGCGAAAAATGGGTCGCGAGAATAGACCGATAAAGAAGAAAAGACAATTACAGTATTACTTCAACCAAAACTCATCCTAGGTGAGATGATACCTTTTGACTGAGAAGCCTCAGCCGAAATTCCTTCAGTGGTCTCTCATCCAACACAATTCCGTCATGTTCTTTTTGATACTGAACAACGAGGTCGTTCTCAGTTCTGATCCAATCGAAATAGTGAGCTGACGTGAAAGTGAACTTTAGATATAAGCCAACAACGTAATTAGCCATTCCTTCGATGACCCACAAATCTTGCCAAGAACTGATCCCGAATAAGCAACTAGCGAACTGTTTAGCGATCCCAAGTGCCAACTGCCTTCGAGTTTCGAACACAGATTCGATTTCTTCTTTCCCGTGGAGAAGGTCGACTTCAAAGACGGATAGGCTTGAAAAGGTGCTGGCGGGCTCCGAAGGATAGGTGACGAACACCTGCATTTATGATCAAGTTTTGTTGAACATGCAAACATTGAATGATATGTAAGTCGACGTAAAATACAGTAAAATGTAATCACATTCCAAATCATGCTTTCCTTATTATTCAAGCATCGAAGAATGTGCAAAATCGAAGAATGTATAAGAGAGTTCTTATATAGATACTGAAGCTGATTAGCGGGTAGAAAACAGTGCGAAGTTAGTCCAGATGATCGTCATCATGCAGCTATTATTCCAATTACAGTATATCCCATCTATTTACATTTTTATTCAATTCGCCGCGTTGAAGCTGAATTAAACTGGATTGATATTTCTCGTAAGATTTTCAATGTTAAAAAAGCACCACATTTCTGAGTTCACGCACAACTTAAAAAAAAAACAATCCAAATCTTGATTCTCGCTTTTTGTCATCTTGATGTCTTTATACATATGTGAAGTTTTACATGGTTGTAGTACAAAAATTATGATTGCTGTACATCGGATCGGAGTCCTGCTTAATTTTATATTTTACGACAACATTAAATCGGCATTTGTAAAGAAGACCATTTCAATCGATTTTGTTGTTGTTTATGTTTGAGGATATCTCACTTGCTTGTACGAATCGTGCAAAATGGACGATTTGAAGTAGCCCTCAAAAAATGCCAGCATCTTCCAGGTTTCGTCGACCGCGTCTTGCATGATATCGACGAATTCAGGAGTGCAAAACGACGTTATTTGCGGTTGATGTCGATCCACATGCGCAATAAAATTTCCAACAGCAAAAGCAATGTTTTGAGCAGCTGTCGGTACCCTGAGGCTGAACCTGTCGAATAGTATTTAAAAATCTTCTTTCTTCAAAAAGGAAATACTGTACTGGATATTTAGGATTTTTCGCAAATAAATTGAGAATTGCCAATGAAGTCAGACATAATTCAAAGATCATAGCAAAGGCATCTGTCAGTCATTATACTTCACTTATTTCTCCATTTAGTTTGAAAACCAGGGATAATTTTTTTTTCTTGAGGACACTCCAATTTTGTTTTCGTTCGATGAAGAAATTTTATCGCTAAAAGAATTATTGATTTTGAAAAAAATGCCAATATTATCTAAAACAATACTCGTGGTGAGTATCGACAGAGAGGAAAGGAACAAAAGAAGATCTAGACGGCATTGAATATACAGTACTAATTAAAATACTGTACCTTTTTTTGGGATTCAGACTTACGAAAAGGGCTTGATTCCAAATACTGTATTGTTACATTTGCTGAGCAACAACGCCTACTGTACCGTAATATTCAGGCATTCAAAATTGGTCCGGTATCACTGAGTAAAATATATTAATGGTACAGTATATTTGCTGGGGATGGGGACTGCGAAGAAGGGAAAAAATGTATCCATGCAGTAATTGCCAGTTTTGTGTGACCTGTAGAGCCGTTTTCCATTATTGAACTGGATGCATTTCAATAGATCCCCAGATGAAACAGCAGACATGTGCTTGGGCACGCAAAATTCCAGGTCCCAGAGGCATAACTTGTCAGGAGCATCGATGCACGGAAAACAGGATCGAGCTGAATTGTAATACGGCGTGGCGAACATGTGAGCTAGACTCCAATCGATGTTCCCATCTTTCAACAACGGTGTCTACCACGAAAATGTGAAAACGAAAAAACTCAAATACCGAATACAGTAAAATACTGTATTGCATTTTTCCTCTTTCAAGAAGAAGCGAAGGGGATTGACGAATGTGATTAAGAATTTCGAATTTCATTTCAATATACGTTCAGTTGATTCCCCTGATTTATTTTTCCACAATCTATCAATAAATTATAATCCTGGTTCAAGTCTCGCATTAAACGCTTCATTGAATCGTATATTTGATAAATTTAGAGAGCGTTCACACTTACCCTAAAATGAACACCCGACCTGGGATTTTCGAGGGAGAATTTCATTGAAATGATCAAGTCAAAGGAACCGTCTTCGTTCAGCGATACATTCCCAGAATCGCACTCAGATAAGTCAATTATCAATTCACCTCCATCACACCAAGGGTCCGATTCTTTAAGGTGGATTTTGAAAGTCTCATCGATCTCGTCAGCGTTATCCAGACGTTTCCAGTCGTAGTCGGACAAATTTTCAAGAGGATCCTCCAAGTCGAAATCGATCCACGCGTTATTTTCCACACGGATTTCCTCAATGTGAACTTGATTGCAGTTGATTTTCAATCGCTTAAGATTCGAGTATCGTTCAAACCTGAAGACCATTTGCGACAGGCCATGAAGAGAGAACAAGAGCTTCAGTTAAAATCGGTAGAAGTCGCGAACAGCCTCGTGAGATATCGGTGTAAGTCTTTTGAGTGACAACCCTCATCTCACGAGTGCAAAGTGGCGGTTTAAAACGGTACGCATACTAAAATGTTCCGAATTCACCGGCATATCTTCCAACTCAAGAAAACTATACAATAACTGCTCTTTTACCTTGATTGTCTGCAACGTAGAACAAACAAAAAGTATAAGAAGTTTCATGTCACTTTACCAGTGGATCGAGAGTTAGCTAAAAACGATTCGTCCGAACACAGAAAAAAATGAATTCAAGGATCGATTCGGTGAAATTGACACAAGAACCCAATGAAACATAGCATATGGTGTAACTCTTCACATGCCGCACAATTACACATGGAAATTATTGGGAATGAATAAATATGTCCTACAAGAAGTGTCGCATTCGTGGACACATGGACAACCACTACTCTATCCGAAAAGGAAAAAGCGTAGCAGATGCTTTCAACAAATCGATTCGCGAATTTAAAAGAAATCCATCGGGATTCAGGATTACAGGATGAGTATCAAAACTGTAGAACGCAAATCAAATGAGAAGCAATCATCGAACATTAATTATTTATATTTGGTTTCCAGGATGACACTACACATCGGCGAGATGAAACTACAGTATTACGGAAGAACAAGACGAACGGATTCTGATTCATCTAGGATTACACACTGCAGGATCGCCATGATCGAAGCGCAGGGCGGTTCAATTAACCCATGCAACTATCCGCGGAGAAATCTTGAAAGGTCCTCAAAAAGTATCAATGACGAACGGATTCTGATTCATCTAGGATTACACACTGCAGGATCGCCATGATCGAAGCGCAGGGCGGTTCAATTAACCCATGCAACTATCCGCGGAGAAATCTTGAAAGGTCCTCAAAAAGTATCAACTAGCGACACCTAGGAATATGATTTAAAACGTTTTCGATCACGTTCCAGACGGAATCACGGCGGGACCATGCTCGAACTCCTTGAGCAGCATTTCAATTTCATCCCCGAGTAAGTGATGTTATCAGGCGTCGTAGTTGTGAGGGTTACGTTTCAAAACTTCATCCAGTGATCTGCCTTTCCAACACTAAGGACGAAATCGAGATGTCTCGGACACTTCGTGAGTAAATTTGAATGATTTCTGCGTACCCCCGTGAACGAAAATTTTGATTCCATCAACTTATACTGAGCTGGTCTATCCTGATGACCATGAGGAGTGTTCTCTTCATTCCCGCTTCGAACATTTTCGAGTGATCGGCGCTCACTCATGCAGACGATCTTCGGGATTCGAGAATCTTGCTTTCGCACTTTTTTAACCTGCGGTGAGATGAATTACTGCATTATGTATAAAAAGAGACTGAGTAATCTAATATGAACGTCATTGTTCGAATCGGAGCTGAAATATTCCGTTTCGGATTCTTTTAACGATTAGAGTAATCTTGAAGATATATTATATATATATATATATATATACAGTATATCCTCACGAGAAGTTTAGCATCATACGCGGTAAATATAAATAACATTTTTGGTCTTCAAATCGCATTTATCGCATTAGAATTAAGAAAGTTGAAAAAATTGAAAATTCCTCAAACAAAGCTTTGAAGGGTTTAGATTTGTTCGGCAAAAGACGAAAACGGTTTCAAAAGATACACATGCAGTACAAGTGTACAGTATATCACATTCATCATCAGATATGAAGTCTATATTCTTTATGCGTAATAATTAGAGATAGTTACTCAATTATATCATGCACCCATCAAGCAAGAATCACCAACCAAAGAATATATAGTAAGACTGATGAAGACAGACTGGAGACAAGACTTAAGAATGGAGACTGGGAGAAGACAATACCACTGTACTGAACTGTTTTTTCTGTGCCTATTGCACAACCCTTATTATACAGGCCAGAATAACTCTGGGATTGAGCCAGGTGCAACAAAGTTGCCCATGGCTAAATCCTGTCTTGCAGGTTTTTATTCTGCAAAAGTTGCCTCCCAAGGGCCAAAAAGTTGCTTAACCCGTGTCCCATCACGTAGGGCGGTCCGCGTCCGTCCTGAGAACTGCACGGTTACACCACGTCGTGGATAGACGGGACGCGACCGAACGTTAGGTTGTTTATATTGTGCTTCTGACTGGCACCAAAACACAGTTGTACACCCTCCGGCATTTGGAAGAAATTCTTTCAGGAAGTGCTTCAAAAAAGGCTCCCCGCATGCGTGGAAAGTCTGACAATGAAGAGCTTCCCAGCTTCGCACCACTTCCAGAAGTTTGTGATCCTTTAATTCCTGACGTTCACAAGGAAAAGTTGGATCAAAATCGGACTGAATGTTGGCATATGTTTGAAAATGTTTTTTAAAAAGAATAAATACTTGAGTGGCGAATGAGCAAACGGAAGCCCTAGAACAAGCTTCTTTGTGAAAAATGTATTGTAATATGCCTAATTTACTGGAGTATTATACAGTAGGTTACTGGCAATCATGCGCCATTATTGTGTATAATTGAGACGCAAATTTTAATTTGCTAGTCGAGACATAAATGTTGAGGAAAATCAATCCCACCAGTTTTCAGTGTTGGAAGAATAATTTCGTTTAGAAAATATAATATGGAATTTGGGATTTAGGCTATATATATATATATATATATATATATATATAAATAAATATTGTCATACTATTCTCGAAAAAAATTATTCCTTCTACTTAACAAAAATTGTTTAAACTGCTGGATGATGTGCACAAAAATTTGCAATATTCGCAAGCCCCCTTCAACGTCATTTGCAGCGAAAGAAAGTGAGGACTATTTCGTTATTTGTTCAAATTCAAGAAAAAGGCTTGGGAAAAGTTAAGGCCGTGAGCTTCGGTTTGACGAGGGGCTAAGCACAGGGAAAGTCTGTAAAGTCAGGCTAACGTTTACGCGTTCATAAGCCTTGCGAAAACGTAGGTTAACCTTTAGGATGCCAAAAGCGGCTTTTTCACGTTGAGCTCATTCAAGACTTTCTTCTCGATTTCTTCCAATTTCGCCAAGTGTTCGAGTGGAGACAAAAACGACTCGGTTTCCAAAATTGACTGAATTTCCCCCGGCGGGTATAACAGTTTCTGGCACATGTTCTCAATGTCCGTGCGCAATGCATCTATGAAGTGATTCGCGTGTTGCAGCTTTTTCATTTGCAGACGATCGATTTCTGCATTCATCTTTAAATTGAGAGGAACGAAAACAAATATGCTAATTGTTGGCTGGTGTGCATGGATTTGATTCTAAGTGATGGTAAGACTATAATTGGCCCATTACTTATAGGTAAAGCAATAATCGGCGAAAATGCTACAAAAAATCTTCTTACAAAAACGAAATAAATTAATCCAAAATATACTCAAAAAAGCTTCAGCGATCACGTAAATTATTTGATGTTTTCTTCTAGATGACAATTTATGGTCGCCAACAATAATTACTCAGATTAATAATTGAATATTCCTTTTAACAATGATTATTGAATACTGCACATCATACTTTTTTTCAGAGTACAGTATAAGAAATAATATACAGTAACAGCAAAGTGATCAATTTTTAGGGGTTATTAATGTAGAGGGTTTCCCTGTTGAGTGGTTTTCGTCTGATATGAGAGCATGTTTGAATTCTAATAAAGAAATTTGTAATTATTTAACCTTGGCAAGTTGACAGTCTGTGATGCCGAAATTTTTTCGAAAACTCTCCCTCAACAGCGGGTCATAATCCAAACGTTTCCACAGCGACTCAATTTCTTCTTTTTT